TTTTCTCTGGACCGGAAAATGAGGTCTTGGATCATCACCGCGAAAGCCGGCGGGAGTTGGAACTGGCTGCCATCATCAGCTGTTATCGTAATACTCTTATTACCGTTCGTGTTCTCTCCTCTGTCCAGGACATTCGCGATGTTTATCGCGGTTTTCTGCACTCGCGATATTACCTCCGCACTCTGCATTAACTGGGCTAGCGGGTGTTCCCCATCTTGCTCGGATGCTGTGTGTTCCTCACATAGGGATACAATTAGTTCCGAGCGTAGGGCAGCTCTTTTGGCTGGACTGCTTTGCTGGTTGTCGGCTTCCGCGAAATCTGCTGCGGAGTAGTCGCCGAGTAACCAGGTATGTAGTCGTGCAGCTCTCGAGAGCTTGGTCCCGCTTGTTTTGAGCTCCAGTTGTTCGAGGTACTCTTCGATTTCCTCCTCCTGGAGCGTCAACACCCAGTTTTCTATTTCTGTTTGAGTGCGGTCCATTTTTCTCTGTTAGTTGACTTGCGGCTAATTTTTACGCAAAATTTACAGGCTTGTTATACGAGTGCGAGTGCTGTATTAAAATTCGTACGCAAAATGAAAATAAAAAATTTTTTTAGCCGACACTGGGCTTGATCAAGGGCGTTTTACGATTTATCTGCCGAAAGACTCTTCGCTCGTTAATACGCAATATAATGACCCTGCCTATCAGACGCACTAACTGTTTGTTAGCGCGGCTGTTTTGGTTAGTATCTAAAATATTTTAACGAGCGCTTAGCGTAGTCATCAACAACCGCAGCTAATAATATTAAAAAAAAAGACGTTTACTTTAAGGCAATCGATATCAAATAAAATTATCAAATTGGATTAATTTCGTTTGAAAGTTGCCGGTGTTAGTTTTCCCCGGGCCAACGGGTACAATATTATTGATTTGCGGCAACTTCCAAAATTTATTGGTGTTTACGCTTCTAAGAGCCTTTCGGTCGCACTCGCACGCGTTTAGTTATTATTTACACTTTTACGCCGCGGCGGGCCTTCGCAAGCTAACTAACAGGCTATGTTTACTATTGTGGCCTTCGATATCGAGTGTGCACAACAACACTTGATTGCCACCTAAGTCGCTGGTTGACTGAGCGCAAGGTCACTATTGAGAACCGGTGTTTTGAACAATCAAAAACACCGTAGGTTCTTTAACGTTGGGCACCATGTAACGGGGTGGTTACCGTTTAATTATTTTTATTCGCGCGGATTCATTAGAGGGCGATGTAATCATCTATGCTCAATACGCAATCCGGAGAGCATGGGGAAACGGGTGTCAGTCAACCGATAGATCTATTAATCTACGAGAAAGTGAGTGGAAGCAATATGAAATAAGAGAGTCGAGAGCACTTGTTAATGACTCGAACAGAAGCTTTTATTATCTATTATATGCTACATCAGGTCGGCCCGCGTGTTTGTTTATTTCGACGCTCGCACAACGACAACATGCAGTGTCGGAACGCTCGCTGCTCTTTGTTGGAAGAGCTATTACATGCACGCTTGAGATGTCGGAAAATTAATCATTATATATGCAATTATATCGCGACTGCGAAATTAAGCTGGCCAGCTTACCTTTATATTGCAGACGTACGAGGTGGACAATGGCGAGTCGCACAGCGAGAAGATTGTTCGTGTTTGTGTCGCGGATCGCGAATTCGTGTACACGCGGTTTCGCCCACGATGGCGAAACCTCACACACACTCTTTCGATCTCGTTGAGGACGACGTTTCTCCGTCGGCTCGGATCTCTCCCTTCTGCAGATGTATGGCACCTCGGCAACAGCAATCACTATTAGCTGGCACTGATCTGGGCGTTCCTCTCTTGCTCTTTTTGGCGTTAACGACACAGGATCGGTAATAGCAAAAACATTCCATCTGCTCGCGTGCCGCATTCCTTTGTCACGTTTCTAATCTCCCCAGTAGGTGCTGCCCCCGCGAGCAGCAATTAGGTAACGTTATTAGCGCTAATTCGACGTTTACCGTCACAAAACTTTGATTGCCACACATACAAATAGTTTAAACAAATAAAGCGTAAATAAGATTAAAATAGTATGTGGCCCAAAATTAGGGCCCAAATCTTAGCTACGCCTAGAAGACTCTCAGCACTTTCCAACTCATTAATTTTGAATAAAGAAAATTGGCTCATCCCAGGATGCCCAAAATTTTAGAGTAGGAAACTTTCTCGCCAAGGGTTTAAAAAGGGAAGGCTGCGCTCGTTGGCAAGCAGTCCTACAGATGATTCCGAATTCGATTTTATTTCTTTCTTCTTCGTTCTTCGTTGCCTCGTGCCATTCAAATAATTAGTGTGTGTGTGTGGGAACCAGAAATTGGCTGTAGTACATCGAGATATACAAATAAAAGTGAGTAAAATAAAGCGTAATTCAACTTAATTTCTCTCTTCTTTCCTATTTTAACTTTTGTGTTCGGAAATTTTAGAAGTTACACTCGATTGCCAAGCGTGTGCATATTTAACTAGAATCTTTGCGTTATTTTATTGCATGGTGTGTGATATCATTATTGCAAGGAGTACAAACAATAAGTAAATCCTAATTTTCTTCACTTTTCTCATTGAAAACCGTATCTATTATAAGAAGTCCGTTACTATTTTTATACATTTGAAAATTGTACATTTTGCATAATACAATACCATATTAATTTGATTTATTTATTTATACTAATTTATTCAATCAAATCAATGTAAATTATCGTATATTCAACCTCAAATCGATATCGCTCAGTACACACAGATACGATTATCTTCTGAGGTAAGAATATTCTTTTTATTTAATGATTTAGCTATCTTTTTCGATAAAAAAAACTATTAAAATTCGTAAGTAATTTCGTAACTTGCACCAAAACTATCTTTCTAAAGGAAAAATATGTGGGAGGTTTTCGAAATCTAAAATTTTTGTCTATATTTTCGCATATTATGTAATTTTTTTTTTTCTCATATTAATTTCTTAAGTTTCCAAAAAGTCGATATCCGTTAGGAAAATCGTGAAGCAGGATGAAGATGAAATTCCGCAGCCTCCTTACCGTACATCTAAACCTAGTCAAAAAAAACTTTACGATCATTCTGCGTAATGTCGGCATGAGCGCGACAAAGAGAAGAGCGTCCCGTATTGCGGACCATCTATTCTGCTCTTGAATTACGGGTCGTTCCTTCCTTGTGATGCAGAGAGGTCTTTTCTCATCCTATTTACCTACTACAACCTAAATTGCGCCCGTAATTAGAGAAATAATTATAAAATTCTTAATTGGAAAAAAAAACTTATTATGAATAGCTAAAATTAAGGCCCGACGTTCATTACGCCAGTAACTCTCAGAATAGTTTATAGAGATTGTAATTAAATTAATGACGTGAAATCATTGTTCATATCATTATAGCATAACTCAGAAGCAACATATTGTATTGAAAATTGCATCTTGGAATTTAGAATCTTTCGTTCACCGTGAACGATCCAAAATTCATACTCATGAAATTCAGCGTCTTTTCTATTTTAAGACTGTAATTTTTTTCGGTAAACAAAAATACATATTAAACTTGTCACAGAGTATTAGAAACTATAGACACCATAAGGGTTTCTCCAAATTTTTTCCCTTCAATCTATCAATAATTATTTGTTATATTTGGAGCAAGATAAATACAAGTAGCAATTTTACCGCCAGCTTTTAAGCGGACTCTTAGCTGAATAACTTTTTTATGTGTATAATAAAATTGATAAAATAAAATTGAAAATTAGAATCACCTATTTTTTTGTAAAAAAAAAAGAAAATCTTGACTTCATTTATATAATATACAGGAAAACATTTAAAAGAAAATTTATTTGTTTAATATTTATATTCGTTATTTTCCAAGTATTCACAACATAGCATATCTAGTTTTTGCTTTCTTTTTAGAATGGTACTAAAAGGTTTCTGCAATAGTTGTTATAATTTTTCATTTTATGAGTCAGCCTTTATGCCATATTTCTACAATATTTTTATAACAAATTCATAAAATGTTAACCCAATGTTGATAAACTCTTCTCAATGTTAAACAAGGCTTTTTTTGCTAGGAATTAACATTAAAAATTTTGAGGATTGACCTGAAACGTTTATTACACCAACATTTTATAATAAATTCTTGCTGCTTGGATTATTGATTTGTTCTTTAAACTATAGTTTAATTTACCTAAACAATATTTAACTGATCAGGTTCAACATTTCTAAATCCATTTATAATGTGAATATTCCTATTATCTATACCCATTCTATATCTTGCATATTTTTTTAATTCCATATAAAATAAGTTTAAATTTTATAAAAACACAATAATGAATTGAATACTAATCAATTCAAACTTATTGTATAATTAGAACTTAATTTAATGCATAATAATAGTAAATTTATTAGTATAACGATATTAAAAGACAGACTAGATGTTACACATTCAACTTCTTTATAAAACCAATTACTGGCAATGAATTAACTGCAAATAAAGAAATTTATTATTTTCAATAGTATAACTATTTAACTTTATGGTGTAGTATTAATTGAAGAATTTGATATTACTTCTATCTACTGTAATCTTTTATAAATTGTGTACAGCTTCACTTGCAGATAACTGGTAGCTTGACATTTTGAGCTACCAATAATATAGATACTAAGCCTATAGTTCGAAGTTTACCATCATATATTTATAATCTAAATTTACTTTCATATGGTAGAAGCATATCCATCTACATGAAATATCTTTTATCCACCAATTGCATAATATATAACATATATATGCACTTGTTTTCATATCCTATACATATATTTTTAAATTTTTAATGCAAAATTAATAATGAAAATATATATGACAAGAAAAAATTTTTTATGGAAGATATTTTAAATAAATTTTATTAAGTAGATATGAGAAATCTTAAATAATGTACTAGAATGAAATGATATAAATATACTTTTATATTATTTATAATAATATTGCAATCGTACTCAAACTCACTTGAAAAAAGCCATATATCATAAATTTTTCGACTTCTCGAGGAATTTTAAAAAATGAATATATTTTTTCTCTACGTGCTGAAAATCGCTGTTCTTCATGTTCTAACTGATAACCTCTGGTCAGCTCAATTTGCAAAAACTCTCCAAAAGATACTATAAAAATAAATATTGTATAAATTACATTTACATTAAATATATATTGTAATAATTTTCAATACAAATTTCATATAAATATTATTTATAAAATAAATTTGAATTTTCTAAAGATTGTGATTACCATATTTTTTTGTCATGGTGGGCAATTCTTTTTCAGAATAATCAAATATTTTATACAAAGAATTAATATCTTGAACATAATTTCTATGTGCTTGGGGATTGGAATTACAGGATCTGTCAAAATAATCTAATTTTCTATCCACACCTTTACTTTTTATTTTAGTACATTTTAGCATTTTATTATTAAAAATCTATTAAATACATTTATATCATTCTTTAATCGACAGTTTTACGCTTATTTGAAATATTCAATTGAAATTCAATTTTGTTGGTTTACTATTCAGTAAAATTTTTAGCTTGTCCCCACTTTGAATAACTGCAGTTAAAGATTCATATTAGTATTCTACATTGATTTCAAACTTTTTTTAATTAGATAGATATTGGGTTTAACGAAAATCAATTTCCGATAGTCAGTCAATATAATTAGCAATTTTATAAAATAATCTTGATTTAATTATGCAATTCCATAGTTCGTTATTTGGTGAATACAAAATAAATTTAAATCAACTTATTTTCTTTTCAACATTTTTCAACTATAATAATTTCATTAAATAGTTATTATACGTCAGGATCATATCGAGTATCGAATGCCATGTTTTCGGCCCGGAATAGTGTTATGACCTGTGACGAACCGACGTCACCTATCGTCAGGTATGCGAAGTAAGAGCAGTAAACTACGTGCATAAGAAAATAGAAAGTAAACGCGAGCGTTCAAATAAATATTGAGCTTGAATAGACATAATAGGCTAGCATAACCGTAAAAAATGTAAATGGTCACTTAGGTGCTACGACACAACGGGTCGTAAAGGATGGCTCAAAAAAAATAATAAAAAAGAGCTTTTTTGACGACTTTCAAATCGTTAAAATTTAATAGGTTTTCCGTCGAAAGCCCATTAAATTTTTTTACCATTGCAAATAGCTACGCCGCACGTGTGGACCATCAGCGAGGAGAGAAGAGAAGGCAAGACTGAGAGCCAGGGGAGGAGAAAACCAGTCTCCTAATTCGCCAGTGCCCAGAAAAGGGACATCCTTTTCCCTCCTCCGCACGCGCGAATGGCAGCAAGCAGCATCAAGTGGAGCTGAGACGCCGCATCGCGAGTTCAGACTCGAATTTCGATATAAAACTGCTTCATACCTTGAACTCAAAACGACAACACAGTGCCTCGAAGGAAAGCATCCCATGACAAAAGCAAAACCTAACCATTACACGCACGCCAAAAAACGTTAAACAATGGCTTGGTCTAACAGACTACTATAGCAATTTCATTGAAAATTTTGCAAAAATCGCTAAACCATTAACCAACCTACTGAGGTAAGGGCATTCATTCATCTGGGAAGAAGAGCAAAAAAAGCCTTTGAAATCGTGAAAGAAAAGCTATACGAATCGCCTATGCTAAACCATCCGGATTTCGAGAAAACTTTTTTTTCTCACAACAGACACATCTAAAATTGGTATCGTCGGATCTCTGTATTAGCTCAACGACGATAATCACGAGTATCCTGTAGTATACATATCACGCACACTGACACCGACTGAAAAGCAACTATCCGGAAATACGGCTCGAACTTTTAGCAATGGTATGAAACATTTCACAATTCAGGCTATACTTATACGAACGAAAATTCGTTATAATCATAGATCACTGACCGTTGGTACACCTATATTCCTTAAACAACCCAGGCTCTCAAGTCATCCCCACTGAAAATGAAGGTACAAATTTTGTACAAAATTGGTACCAAATTTGTACAAAAATGTGTACAAATTTGTACACATTTTGTACGATATTTGTACAAAATTTGTACTAAATTTGTACGAATTTTGTACTAAATTTGTACGAATTTTGTACGATTATCATCATTTTTCTGTAAATTAACAAACCATTTGTCATTATTACGATGCAATTTACTGTCATAAATTGAAAGGTGTAATGAAAATACATGTAATTTTTTGAAAATATTACAACTTTAATATTTCATAACGAAAATTTTTATAAAAAATACTTGATTATTTCTATACAATACAAAAAAGTATTAAAAAAATAAATATCATATTCATTAGTTTTTAGCCGAGTAAATGCGAACGTGAGTACAATAAGTAAAGCGTGAACATTTATATTACAAAACTTTTTATACACATGAAAAAAAATAGATGTGTAATTTTTACGTATAATTCTAATAATGGAACATATTTGGAACAGCTGAAATGTACTGTCCAGTTTTCGTATTTATAACAATTGCTATATTCGTTATTTCATTAGTTTCTATATCGATCTTATCTTCTTCGATAGACACAATTTTTTCAATTTTTAAAATTTTTCAAATACAGTTTCGGTAGCGATGTAATTACATATAGTGAATTCTTTTTCTTTCAATTCATCTACAACAAATTTAACAATTTTTATAAAGTTGCCAGTTCTTGTCTTAACAAAAGAATTGTTTGTCCGAGCACCTTCTTTTTTACAGCATGCAAAGAGACAATCTTTTTTAACCATTCTTTCATACGTTTTTGTGTATTTTGTTGACAAGTTTCTTAAATTTATCCATTGATCTTCAGTATAAACAGACTTGCCGAAATATCTATTTTCTCCTATTTTAACAGTTTTCTCGGTAAGCCGATTATTCAACTGACGTACAAATTTCAAGACTGCCGAATTCTCATAATTCTTATTCAAATGTTCTTCTAACAGTATGCAACTGTTTTCATATTCTAGCTTTCGGCAAATTGATGCAAGACTCCATTACTTGATTTTATCATTTTCAGAAGTTTTCCATTTCCTGCTTCAAATGCATAACCAGTATGGAAAGGCATTGGTTCCCAGTTTCTAATACTATCCACCAAATGAAGCAGTTGGTGAACATTGAAGGTCATTGCGGTCTGGCCATAAATTCTTCTGTTTCTACTATAAATTCTTTCAAACATTTTTCGGCATAGTCAAGCTCTTCGTTAGTTATGGAGCTTTTCTTTAGAATGTGCATTGCTTCCACAAGTAATTCCCAGTGTTTTGCATAAACTTCAAAACCCGGCATCATTTTTAGAATGGGTAAGCTATAATATAATAGCCAATTTTCCCATTCACGCGACTTCCAGTGCTTTCTATCCTTCAAAGAACGAGATAAGCGCGTAATTTGGTTGGGCGACTGAATACTTAATAGAATTTCATCAATTTCTGCTATTCTGCTTTTAAGCGAAAAAGGTACGTTTGTTTCATTGAACCAGTAGCGTGCAAATTGTCGACAAATTCCTAAAGATACGCTGTGTATTTCATCCGGTACGAATCCTTCGACAATATCAAAAAATTGTAAAAATACTAATGGAGACAAAGATTTTATTCCGTGAGACATTCCCACCTCTGGAAAATTCATTTTCAAATTTCTCATTGTGAGTAAAGTATCGTAGGTAGATCGCTTGTTCGGCACATAATCTAGAAGAGGATACTTAACAACTTTTTTTTTTCATGCATAACTGGTATACCTGGGTGCAAACACCAGTTACTCCCAAAATATCCATTGTATTGCGTAAGTCCTTGAATTGGCCCACGCGCACCAGAATCAACGCAACAACATATCGGATATAGTCTCAAGTTCCGAAATTCGTTATTGATGGTACAACGAATACCTTTAACATTTATACTATTAACGTTTTTTGCAAATGCTTTCAGGAAAATATTCATGTTAGGTTTACTTTTACCTATCTAGAGCGCATAAGTTATGCTTCCACTAAGTCTAATATCTGATGGAACTTCATTTATTTGTATTTGTAAAGGCCAGAGAGAAAAATTAGTACTTTTCCAAAGTGGGGTTCCATCAGTATTCAAAACACATGTAATAAAGGAATTTTTCAACTCATTAGGCAATGACAAAAAGAATTCTCTATATTTCAAGCCATCGCAAATGTCTTGAAAGTCATGTTTAAGTTGATTTAGACTAGATAAAAGAGTGTCGTAGTACTTTTGGTTGATTTCTAGTAAATGTCTAATTTTATCTTTTACGTTCAAGATTACGAAAAAATTCACGTTGTTACCTTTAACTTTAATTTTACGCTTACAATATTTACAATACACGAATCGTTCAGTAGCCTTGAAGGAGCATAGATATTTCTTACATTTTATGCATACAGCATGGAATTCTGCGATATCGTAAGATCTTAATAAATTGTCAATATTATAACGAGTATCTTTTAAAACGGGCTTATCGAGGAAACTATTGAACATTTTACAAAGTTGTTCTATCCCAGTTATTGGTAAATTAAAATGTTCGCTGTATTTCCCAATAGCACATAACATTTCCGCCTGACTTACAGCTACCTTAGCGGGTGTAATTTCATCTAACGTACCATTATCCAATTGACTTTTCACTGGACCAACCTTGTTTTGTTCTTCATTCCAAAATTGCTCTTCGTCCTCTGAGTTGTCAAAATCACCGTCTACATCTGTTTCTGGTATTGAATCTTCTACCTGAAATAATTACGAAATTTTGTATAATATACGTACAAATCTTGTTAGCAGTACCAATAATTGACTAATATTATTGCAAAAATCAATCAAAGAGTGGATTGGTAATAACTGAAAAGCTTAATTTTCTGTTACTTCCATAAAATTACATTCATTTTCAAATGACTTGAAAATGTGAAAAAAAATGTCTTTTCAAAATAATCTGAATAAGTATTCAACTTTAAGCACTTCTTTCTCTCATAAACTGAAGAATTTGCACAGCTATTTTGCAAAAGTAGGTTTGCGTGCAGATACTCTACTGGCACAGTTAATCACAGCGCTTGTTAATTAGAATTTGGGAAAGAAAACCAGTCGTGTTTAATTAGCAGAGAGTTAAAATTACCGTCAGGCTTCCTTGATACATTCATTATAATTATAATACTGATCAATCGTTCGTGAATTTTTTTATTTCTTGTACAGTAAAAAAATATTAATGTTATACTAAATACTGTTATTACTTCTATGCAACAAAACTGCAACAGGCAAACAATACACATTTTTTTTAATTTAAGTAAATACATTATTCGAATGTAATGAAGATTAGTCTCACCTCATCAGAGTAACTAAGTCGAGCACTCATTGACAGTTGTGATTTATATTGCTCTGAATTTGCCTCGACAGAACTACTTCCACTCTGCATCATATTATCATGAAGTCTCTCTGGACTATTGCAAGCAATATCTGGCTGCACCAAGATTTCTTCCGGACTTGTTGAACCAGGAATAATATCCTCAATATGACCTGTGTCTGGCTGAAGGCCTCCAATGTTTGCTAATTTATTATTATGTATGATTTTATAGTGTTCCTGAAATGTAATTAAACCAGTCAGATTTTTCACAACGAACAATTATTTTTTTACAATACATACAATATTTACATTGATATCATATAGTGCATTGATATTCATTCATAGATTAGAAGGCAATTATTCCCTAACAAATGATGCACTTATAAGAAATTGACAACACAACTAACCTCCATATCATCAGTACTAGTAGAATCACTCGTATCATTTCTTGTTTTTTTTTTGGCATGATCCTATTTAGTAGATTTCGGTGGACTATCTCCGGTTTAAAGATATTTCTTGTATGGTCCTCTTTTTTT